CACTCGCGACACCCCCGCGGCTCTTCCACCGCCCCCGGCGCTTCCTGCGGGGCCCGAGGCCGCGGGGACGGGCGGGGCCGCCCGCGGGGGTGTGCGGGGGTCAGGTCTCGGGTGGGCACCGGCTCCGTGCGTGCGGCTGTGACCACCCTCGCGCAGACATGAACCCCAAAGGCTGCCTCGGCTGTGCCAAGTACTTTCTCTTCTTCCTCAACCTCTTCTTCTTCGTGAGTGGAGTCACAGTGGGGGGCTGGGGGCACACGGGGCTGGGGAGGGACTTGGGGGGTGGGAGAGTGAGGGACAGGGGACAGATGGGAGGGTGTGGAGCTGAGGGGACGGGGGGAGATGGGGGACAAGGTGCTGGGGGGCACCTGGGACTAAGGGGACATGGGGGTATAGGGGAGACCTGGGGAGGGGGCCCAGCTATGCCTTGGGGGGCCAACAATCTCCTGGTGCTTGAGGGCACTGGGGGGTCCCCAATTTGCTGACCCAGACTGGGTGCCCCCCCTCGATCCCCCAGGCCCTGGGCACCCTCCTCCTCGCCTTCGGCCTCTGGGTCCTCTTCGACCGGCAGAGCTTCGCCGCCATGCTGGGTAAGGGACCCTCGCACCGTGGGGCACCCTGAGCTGGGGGGGAAGGGGTACCCTGACCCCCCACGTGTCCCCCAGGGTCACCACTGGTCAGTCTGAGGGTCTGGTCCTACGGCTTCTCTGGGGTCGGCATTGTCACGATGCTGCTGGGGTTCCTGGGCTGCCTGGGGGCCCTCAAGGAGGTCAAGGTCCTGCTCATGCTGGTAAGTTGGGGGGGCCAGGGGGGTCCTGAGGGGGGCTGCAGAACTGGGGGGGGCTGGGGGAGCTGTGCTGCAACTTCCTGGAGCGACCGCGGGCCACGTGCTCCCACCACATCCTGTGCTCGCGGTGGGGGAGCTGGGGGGGACCCCTCTGCGCTCCCCCAGTGCCAAGAAGGGGGGCTGGGGGGGTCCTGGCTGACCCCCCCACCTCCTGCGTTTGTCCCTGAAGTACTTTGGGGTTCTGCTGCTGCTCTTCGTTGCCCAGATCACGGTGGGCGTCATTGTCTACACGCAGCGCGTTGCTGTGAGTACTGGGGGGACCCTGGGGCTGGGGGAGAGGGGATTGGGGTGGGGGGACCTGGGGGGCAGGGCAGTTCTGTGGGACGCTGTGCTCACCCTCCACTCACCCCACGCAGCTGGCCACCAAGGTGGCCACCTACGTGCAGAAGCTGATCCAAGAGTACCCAGCTCAGGGACCGCCTGGCGATCCCCACGAGAGCTGGGATGCTGTCCAGCAGCAGGTGAGACCCCCACAGAGCCCCCCCATCCCCACAGGCATGCCGCAGCCACCCCACTGACCCCCTGCCTCCCCCCAGCTCGGCTGCTGCGGCTGGAATGGGCGCCAGGACTGGGAGCACCACGACGGACCCTCTGGGGACACGGACGGGGCCGAGACTGTCGCCTGTTCCTGCCTCAAGGCCCCCAACAGCACCCACAGGACCCCACGGGTGCTGCCCCATGGCCGCTGCCTCGTAACTGCCCCCAGTGACATCTTCCCCAAGGTGAGCTGGGGGGGCTCACAGGGTCCTGGAGATCTGGGTAGGGGGGCTCCAGGTGACCCCCGATTGTCACCCCCCTCCTACAGGGCTGCGCCGCAGGCGTCCGGGACTGGCTGGCCGCAAACCTGATCACCGTCATGGGGGTGTGCCTGGGCATTGGCCTGGGGGAGGTAAGGGGGCTGCCCCGGGGCAGGGGGTGGTAGGGCTGAGCTGGGGGGTAGCCTGGGGACTGCAGGGCCATGGCATGGGTGGACTGGGGGTGACCCGTGGGTCCGAGGGGGTTCAGGAGGGTTTCAGGTTGGCCGTGG